CCCAGCCCCCCCACGCCGGCCCCCCCGAACCCTTTCCCCCCAAGGGAAAAGACAAAAAAAAGGAGAGGGCCCCCAAAACAAAAAAAAAAAAAAAAAAAAAAAAAGTAATTACTCTGGACACACTGTGAATCAGGAATTTGAAAATGAGCCCAAGGTGAATGCAGGTGGACCATTGAAAGGCTCCAGGTAAAAATGCTCCAGGTAAAAGATGATGATCAATGATCTAGACCAAGGGTTTGCCAGCTGTTTTATGGAAAAATGTCTGGTGCTTGTACTCAGTTTCTCATTGTAGCATGGCAGGCGCCATAAGGCACACATCAGTGAACAGGCATGGCTGTGTTCCAGGAAAGCTTCACTTACGAAAACAGGTGGCACAGTTGGCCACCGTCTGCTCTGGACTGGAGAGAAGATAACAAATGTCAGCTTACACTGTGGAAGCAGATTTAACAGGATGGGGGTGTAGGTAAGGGGGATTTCAAGGCTCTGGCTGGAGTAATCGGTGCATCCTGGTGCTGCCGATTAGGGAACAAGTTAGTTAAAAGTCTAGACCCAGTCACCCCCAATATAGTGTCATCTCACGTTATTCTCATCTTTGGTCTCTAATGACAATATGACCGTTTTGTGGAGTTTCACCGCCACAACCGTCATGACTAGAAATACTTTTATTCTTTTATACACACAGTCGGCTATTACATCAAAAATTAAAAGGTGAGAAAAATCACAGAAGAATGAAAGCTAGTCAGTTGTATTGAGCAGGTCTTTTTGTGTTTTCTGCTAACAGAAGGAAAGAAAAAAAAAGACATGCGTCGTTGCCTGACACCTGCCAGCCCGTTGGCAGTCCATCTGTAGCCTCCTTTTTCTCCCTCCTTTCAAAAGTAACAGTCCCTCAGTGACCCCCCAGCTGCCGCTTCTGTTCGGATGAACCGGAGGACGCTCACGTTGGCAGATGCTTTACGCTGATGCTTGCCGCACCCTGTGGCCGAGCAGCGTTGCCTCTGTTGCTCTACAGCTTCCCCTCGCCCCGTTTGCAAGAGGCTCCTTCCCAAGTAGTTGCCTTCTTACGGTTGCTGTGGCAGAACTGGAACATCAGTTTGATTTTCCTTATACTGTAGTCAAGTATAAAACGCCAAACACGTCCAACTACTGTAACACTTTTTCCCTTGGACTTTGATAGGCTTTGCTCTCTGTGCACGATACCGTGGCTCTGAAGAACTATGATCCCGTGTTGCCTCCTATGCCTGATGACATTGATGAGGAGGAAGACTCAGTGAAAATCATCCGTCTGGTCAAGAACCGAGAACCGCTGGTGAGTTCTGGGCTACATTTTATGCTCAGCTACGAGTAGATGCCACGGTAAAGCCACATCTGATGGGCACATACCATAGATTCCGCCCTTTAAAGTGTACTTCCTCTGTGTCCTGAACTTTGAAATGAATGGAGCATTCACACCTAAAGCATAGGATTTAGAAAAATTAAAATGGAGCCAGATAAAGCGGCAGGCATTCTTTTGGTTATAAATAGCAATAGTGTTTAAAATGTGACTTGTTGACGTTTATAAAAGACAGCATGGTGCACCAGTTAACAGCTGATGTGAGGTTCAGAAGTGCAACTAAAAATAATGGCTTATGGCTTTTCTAGAAAGCTGATGGATTTTAAAGTGACGAGGAGAAATTAATCGGGTATCCGATATTTCAAAATGTAGATGTAACCATTTGTTTTAGCCCCAGAATTTATACAGTGCCGAGCCATGTCAGGGTCTGGGGTAGGCCGACTAATGCCTCGCGCCGGCCCGCAGTGATGTCGTGTCCTAATCTTCAGAACCTGTGGATATGTTACCTTAAAAGACACAGGGAGCTTTTCATGATTAGTTAAGGATCTTGAGACGGCGAGAGTCCCTTGGATCATCAGGCGGCACCGTCACGAGGGTTCTCATTAATGGGAAAGAGGGAAGCAGGGGGGTCAGAGGTACAGAAAGAGGTGTGATGGTGAAAGCGAGGGTGGGAGTGATGTGGCCGAGAGCCAAGGGACGCCAGAAGTGTCTAGAAACTGGGACAGGCAAGGACCGGATTCTTTCCTAGATCCTCCAGGACGAATGCAGCCCTGCTGGCACCTTGATTTGGGCCTGTAATACCCGTTTTTGCCTTCCTATCGATAACTCCAGACCTGTAAGACAATCAATTTATGTTCTAGTAAGCCACTAAATTTGTGGACATTTGTTCACAGCAGCAATAGGAAATGAGTGCAGAGTGTATCCATATGAAACTATATTCAAAAGGAAAATAAATGTCACAGCCTAGCAGTTGACTTTAAATGTGTTGTGGCCCATTTATTCTAATTGAAACACTTTTGTGTTCTTACGGCAAATGGCGGTTGATCATACAATAGTTGCTGGGCACTGTGTTATATACTCTACATACTGATTATATTTAATCCTCACAGTTGGTACCGTTTTTCGGTTTTTACAGACTAAGAAACTGATATTCAAAGAACTAAAGCAACTTAACCCAAAGTAGCACAGCTGTTGAGATCTAAACTTGACTCTCTTGCTTCAAACACTAGTTTTTTCTTCTATACCACATTCTGTCTTTATATTTTTGGTACTTTTTATCTTCTTTCGTTTAAAGGCAACTGTGGTATGTTAATAAATACATTGGACACTCTTACCCAGAACAATGTACAGATAACTTTGCTTATCACAGAAGGATAATTGAGCCCCCGAAGCTCATCTGTGGGTGTTCTAAGGCTCCCTGTAGCCCTGGTTAAGGTTGTTTGGTTTAGATTATACACTAATGCTTTTTGCCTATGGTTATAACTCTCTGCTGGTAACCTTAGTATGTCTTGGTCTTTATCATGCAGGTGATGCAGGTAAGGGTAGATGGTACGCAGACTAGATGGAGAAAGAGCTCTCTTGGGACCTGTCACCATAAAGTGACTAATCCTTGGTGGGTTCTGTGTATCTACCAATAAGAAGTATGTTTCTGTTTTGACAAATTCACTCTCTTAGAGAATTCAAAGACTGGCCATCTTGAGGAGATCAGTAATTCATTGCTAACAGTTTCTTTGATCAGTCATAGTTCTCCAGAGGTGGTGGTTTTTGGTGTGTTGCTTTGGTGAGCTGACATTTAAACAGTAAGTTCCATGCTTCCTGATAGAAGAAGATCTTCAAATGTTAATCAGAGAAATTAGGCATGTACTGCGTGAGGATTTCTCAAAAGTTTTAACTGGACCTGCTGTAAATTAGTTTCAATTTAAAAAGCAATTGAATGAAGTATATAAAATAATGTAAAGTTGTGTTTTCACAGTCTGTTACTGAATGAATCACACCCTTTAGCTCATAACAAGCATGTAACAACTGAAATAATTAGACCTAACTTTGAGGTGATAATTCTTTGTCATTAGCTCTCTTTTGTTATAGTTTATATAATACATTAAATTCATAGTTTAAAAATGAGAAGCTGGGGAACTCCCCTGGTGGTACAGTGGTTAAGAATCCGCCTGCCAATGCAGGGGACACGGGTTCGAGCCCTGGTCCAGGAAGATCCCACATGCCACAGAGCAACTAAGTCCGTGCATCACAACTACTGACCCTGCACTCTAGAGCCCATGAGCCGCGACTACTGAAGCCCACGAGCCTAGAGCCTGTGCTCGGCAACAAGAGAAGCCACTGCAATGAGAAGCTTGCACATGGCAACGAAGACCCAACACAGCCATAAACAAACAAACAAATAAATTTATTTTTTAAAAAAAGTAAATTAGCCAAAGGTTTTTTTGGCCAACATATGCAGTTAACTTCTTTAAACTCTAGGTTTTGTTTTCTGTATTTAATGCAATTTAAAGTAATTTTGAGTACTTTAAAAAATTATTTTAGTCACTGGCTCTTCACATTCCTGGTGAGCCACAATTTGATTGCATGATTTTTGTTCAAGGGGATGTATTAAAAATAAGAACTTCATGTAGAAAACAGAACCTCTAACTGGGATGAAGAAATTCCCAAAATTATTTGTTGGGACTCCTGAAAAAAGTGTTAAGATTTTAAATATTCTTTTAACACTGGAACATGGAATCAAGCGAGAATTACTCGTCTTGAACTTTTCTTCATCCAAATGCGTAATTACTGTATTTTCTTTAGTTTGACAATTATTGTGAAAGTGAAGAAAGATTATTGGGTGAATAAATTTATAGTTTAAAAAATGCACGACCCAGAAAAATGGAAAGTATTTATTTTTAACAAACTCGTCATTTTATATTTGTCAATTGTCTCCTGTCATTTTGGGGATAGAGTCTAAGGCATCTTTGGGAGAATGGGTCTGAGTAGTAAGACTCAGAAATCGTCAAGGTGAGGGAAGCCAGGCTGAAATGAAATTCTAGCACGTGGATGGATGGTCAGGAGCTTGGCAAATGATTCGGAATGTAATTTTGTTGTCAGACTGAGGTATATAATGTGCCGAAATAAGCACTGAGCTTGCATTAGGTGACCTCAGTGGGAGGTTTGCTCTGTATCCTTATAGCAGCAAGTCGTTTATTGCAGCCTCAGGCTCCTGATCAGAAAATCAGGAGATTAGCCTCTTGTGTGAGTGTTTTGAATACCACTGACATCTGATGTGTTCGAAATGCTGTGTTAAGTTCTTTGCATTATGCCAGCATCAAATGAACGTGACCTAGAATGATCAGGTAGAAGCTAGTCGACAGCTAGATTTACAGAGAGAATGGTCTCCTGAGGGAGAGGCAGTGAACACAGATCATGTCGGTATTTGGGAATGGAAAGGAGCAGGGGTGATAGTTTGAGGGGAGGGATGGATGGAAGAATTACGAGAAGGGGAGAAGGAAACTGGTCAGGTTGCAAGGAACAGGGCTGTTCTCCCTCCCTGTGAGTTTGGAGCAATTTATACCTATTTTATCCAGAAGAGTAATCTTTCGACCGGCTGAAGAAAATGAAATTCTCTTAGTGAAAGTGTGGATTATGAGCCTTAATTTTCAGTGTTTCTTGCATGGATTTTCCTTTTACTTCTTTTAGAACAGGGGTTCTCAGACTCTGGTGTTACTAGGGTTACCTGAGACGCTTACTTCAGACGCAGACTGTAGGGCCTCTGCCCCCAGGAGTCCACGTCGTTAGCTTCAGGTCGGGCCTGGTCATCAAATAGGTTGTAAAACGTGTCGCAGGCCTTCTTGACGCCAGGGTTTGGTCAGCCGTACATGAAAGCCCTTGTTTCAGAAGTCCGACCTGAAATTGACCGTGCCACCTCTTTAAGGAGGCTGTAGGGCGTTGGCAGCGGCCTCCGAGGGACAGTTTTCATTTGCGTCTTAGTGCTCCTTGTTTCTAAACCATTTTACAGAAGTAACAAGAAAAGTCTAACCAGAATGTTAACTTCTCAGTCTAGCCTAAAGCTGTCTACACTCTGTCATCAAAATCACATAGAATAAATTAAAAATAATTATGGAAGAAAATATGTAAGTATTAAAACATTAGATTCCATTTTAATTTATATTTCATCTCAGACTGTACCGTCAGAATGTCGACTTTTGTGCAGTATCACATGAAACGTGCTCTATGTTACTGGGTTTTGATCTTATTTCTAGTACGTTGCCCTAGGAATACATCAAGGAATTGTGATAATAAGGGTTTGGAAAGCAATATGGAAATAGAAAGTGTTCAAGAATGTAGGGATCAGGGCTTCCCTGGTGGCGCAGTGGTTGAGAGTCCGCCTGCCGATGCAGGGGACACGGGTTCGTGCCCCGGTCCAGGAAGATCCCACATGCCGCGGAGCGGCTGGGCGCGTGAGCCTTGGCCGCTGAGCCTGCGCGTCCGGAGCCTGTGCTCCGCAACGGGAGAGGCCACAGCAGTGAGAGGCTCGTGTACCGCAAAAAAAAAAAAAAAAAAGAATGTAGGGATCAAAAAGAAGATTGAGTCAAGTGCTGGTATCCTGTAGAAAGTGAGAGACCGTTTCTCAGGTCCGTAGTTTACCCTGCACAGGGAGGTAGAATCAGCAGAGAGCAGGCATGTCTGTTTCAAGGTCCTATCTGTAGCCATAGGTAAGTATATTTCAGGGCCTATAACAAGTCCTGTAGGTGTTGGAGCGCTTTTCTCCCTCCGCACATCCTGGAAGTGATTTCTTTCAGCCCCTGGCTTTAAAAACCATTTGTGTAAAAAAAAAAAAAAACCATTTGTGTGCCAGGGACCCCCAGGCCCCTTTCCCTTCCGGACCTTTCGTCTGATCTTTAAATTTGCATGTCCATCCGTCTGCCCAGTGTCTCCATTTGGACGTAGCAGGCATCTCAGTCTTCACGTGTCTGCAAGTAGACTGCTTGTCCACAGTCTGTTCCAGCCCTGTGGTTCCCCCTCTCAATTGATGGACAGTCCCATCTCTCCAGTTATTCAGTCAAGAGCCATAGAGTCTACCTTTGATACCTCTCTTTCTTTCACGTCCCATTTCCGATCCACTGGGAAATGCTTTCAGCCCTACCGATATATTCCAACACAGCTGGACCACTTTTCATTACTGCCCTTCCTGCCAGTCAGATCCGGGCCTCCGTCATCTTTGCCCTCGATTGTTGTGACAGCCTCCTCCTTGTTTGCTTTTTTTTTTTTTTTTTTTTTCGGTACGCGGGCCTCTCACTGCTGTGGCCTCTCCCATTGCGGGGCACAGACTCCGGGCGCGCAGGCTCAGCGGCCATGGCTCACGGGCCCAGCCGCTCCGCGGCATGTGGGATCTTCCCGGACCGGGGCACGAACCCGCGTCCCCTGCATCGGCAGGCGGACTCCCAACCGCTGCGCCACGAGGGAAGCCCTCCTTCAGTCTCTTCTTAATGGCAGATGGAGGGGTCCTTCGGATCATGTCACTGCCGCTGTGCAGGTTCTCCCTGTTTGTTTCGCGGCGCAGTCCAGAGTCCTCCCGGGGACCTACAGAGCGCTGCACCGTCCAACTCCCTGCCCCTTCTGACCCACCTGCTGCTGCTTCTCCCCTTTTACGTTGACCCAGACACAGTGGCTTCTTTGTGCTTCTCTGATCGTCCATTTTGCCCTGTTCTTTCGCTTTGGGTAACTCCATCTCCTTCCAGCCTTTTCGTTGAGAGCAGCGTCTTTACATACTGTCTTCCCTCTCCCTGCCCTACCCCCTCCATAGTTTTTACCACCTTCTAACGTGCTGTAGGACAGATCTAATTGTTTCATCTTCTGTCTGTTGTCTGTCTCCCCTGTGAGAATGTAAGCTCCATGAGGGGGAAGAAACACCTGGGTTTCTTTTTTTTTCAGCAATGTGTCAGAAACCCTTAGACCAGAAGCTGGCACATAGTAGGTTCTCAGTAAACATTTAGCAGCTTCATTGAGCACAGCAGACTGGATGGTTCCATACTGAAAAACTGTAATCCATAGTGGAGCAGGACATTTGTTGCAGTTACCTAATTTTGTGTTACAAACCACCACCCAAAGTTTGTAGCTAAAACAATAATATTATCTCTCACAGTTTTGGAGGTTGACGGGCTCAGTTGGGCAGTTTTTCCTTAGAGTCCCTCCTGTGTAGTTAGACAGGGGCTGAGACTGGAGTCACCTGAGGGTTACTTCATCCCCAGGACTGGTGTCTGGGCTGGGTGGCTGGAAAGCTGGAGGCTGGTCAGGCATCTCTTTTAACAAGTGGCATCTCCACCTGCCTGGCTTGGGCCTCCTCACAGCATGGCTGTACACGTGATTTCTTACATGGTGGCTGACTTCCCACAGAGCCAGCATTTCAAGAGTTCCAGAAAGTTAGCTGCAAGTCTTCTCACAGCCTTAGGTGCCCCAGAACCATTTCACCACTTGACGTGGGGATACAGCAGGCACACATCAAGAGGGGAGAATTGATGCTCTGCATCTGCAAAAGCAGTGGTTAAGAAAGCAATTCTCATCAGTTTGCCTTAGGTTCTGACTTTACTGCATACTAGTTGTCTGAACTCAGGCAAATTATAACCATTTGGCACTCAATTTCTCATCTATAAAATACAGATAAGTAATCTTAAGTTAGATAACTAGACCCTTATGACACTAGGCGTACTTTGGTGGGAGAGTTTGAGACACATTGTTAAAGAAAGTGAAAGTTGATCTAATTACACTAATTAGTTATATTAAGGATATTACATTTCCAGTCATCTTGGCTACAAGTTATCTGTTTAAAAGCAGAAATTACCAGTAATTGGAGAGTCTGAGGTTTATGACCATGGAGAGATACCCATTCAAGTCTTCGGCCTTGAATGCATGCGTAGGTGAGGAAAAATGCCACAAAATCATCCTAACAATTATTTAATTTTTTTGCTGTTATTAGAGATGTATTTGATAGCTGTCATATACAAAATAAAACGTCATATAGAAAGCACTTACTACAAATGGATTCCTAATTTTGTTTCCATATCTGTTTGGTAATGCTGTACATGTGTTTATTGGCGAACGCGAGAAGAATTCCACCTTCGTGGGGGTGCGCTCTGCCTCCACCTAACGTGCACCTCTTCAGCGCGTGGCGTGATGTTGGTGGCCCATCTAAACCACTGCCAGTTGCTTGGAAGCAAAGTCATGAAAAGGCGTTGAAAGTAAACCGTGTGTACCTGATGTTCTGACGAAGAGCATGCACTTAATTTGCTTCTGAACATGCATAAGTAAAGAATTTCTGGGTTCTTTTTGAAACTGTTTCCTAATCTCACGCCAAAATGTTAGTTCCATTTGTACCTAGGTGCAGTCCTAGTACATAAAAACCTCAGAGTAACAGATCTTTTTTTTTCTTTTCCCCCACTTTCTTTATTATCATTGCTGAGTTCCTTTACTGTAATGTAATAGTGTAACAGAAGGATCACTGAACTAAAGGCCAGGTGATCTGGGTTTTAGTTTTCTAGTTTATATAATCTTTTTTCTCTTCACTTCACCTTCTCTGTTTAGTCTACCTTCTCACAGGGTATTGTAAAGATAAACTGAAATGAGGAAACGCTCTAAAAGGGTAAAAGCAAGTAGTATTCAAATACAAGGTATTATAATGGAAAGAAGATCTTTGTACACTTTGCATAGTACTGAAGAGATTAAAGGTTTCAAAAGTCTTTGTGCTGAAAACCTTAGAGGATCTGTGTGGTAGAAAGTTGTGTGTCTAGTGATAAGTATTTGTGAGCAAATGGCACGACGTCAGTTCCCCCTTCCTTTACTTTTTGTAGCGTTTTTACTTTTTCCAGACGAATGTCCTTATTTCTGTCCTTATTTCTTTCCTACCACCCAGTACACACATTTACCCACAAATACTATTTTTTTTTCCTTAAAAGGGAGCTACCATTAAGAAAGATGAGCCCACCGGGGCCGTGGTTGTGGCCAGAATCATGAGAGGAGGAGCTGCAGACAGAAGTGGTGAGAGTTTGAACGTTAGGCGGACGTGGACGGGGCACGTGGATTTTATGTGTCACATTTCCGGGATGTAGCTACGAGGATAACAGTTTTTTGATACAATACAGCAAAACAGTAATAAGATATTGTACTCTGTGTTAAAATGTGGGAACCTATTTAAATGGTAAATTTCATTCTAGAATACTTTACGGTCTTAGCTTATATAGGCTTCCAAGGTTATATTAAGACTTAGTTCAATGTTTCTGTTTTGGAAAGTACTACTGAAAGCACACAGCCTTTAAAAAATTTATCTTAAAGTGAAAGTAATGTGCATCTCTAGAAAAAGACTGAGATGCCTCTGCTGTTCCTTTGGCAGCGTTGTGATGTTACGGCCTTGGCGAGGCTGGAGCCTCAGCCTCTGAAACCTCAGAGGCCTGAGATGTGTGTCCTTGCGTGCCCTGAGGGCACCACACGGTGCTTTCAGGATGGGCACACTGCAAACCACCATTTCTTTTGTACGTAACACTGCTTACTTTCTGAATTTGCGATTTCTCAGGTCTTATTCACGTTGGCGATGAACTTAGGGAAGTGAATGGGATACCTGTCGAGGATAAAAGCCCTGAGGAAATCATTCAGATCTTGGTAAGCTGAAAATTTACTTAAAAACTGCAGTGAAAATGAGGTTGAATCGCTGTATTTCAGACCTGGTTGTGAACACAGGATTTGGATTTAATAGTCCAGGGTTTGGATCCCAGCGCTGTTACTTAATCCCCCTTATGTCCTTGGAAAATACCTTAATCTTTTTATTTCCTCCCTGTTTTCATCTACAGAATGAGAATAAGAAGTGGTAACTCTCTCATTGGAGTGTCTGGAGCGTTAAATGAGCCAATGTAGATCAAGAGTTTGACAGGGCCCATCTCAGATTAGGTCCTTAATACATGGCACGTACTCTGTTGTTGAGGATGCATTTATCTCTGTCTCTAGAGGCTATGCTTTCCGGGTATATAAAAAAGTGAAGCTAACTTAGATGTCTTACGAAATCTAAAACGAAATGAAATTATTATAAGCCTTGGCAATATAAATTCTCAAGTTCATTTGTAAGGATAGAATAAAGGGAGACTGTCCCTGTTACATATGAAAACATGTTATTAACCTATAGAGAGTTTAGTATCTCAAAATAGACCTCAGTATATATGAAAATGTAGTGTATGATTAACATGGCATTTTAAATCAGTGTGAAAGCAGTGAGATCATTTCATAAATGGTATTGGATTAATTGATTGTTCAGTTAGAAAAAATAGTCCTTATTTTACAACTCACACAAAAATAAATCCCCTCAAATCAAGTAAGTTTTTTAAAAAGTCATAAAAAGTAGAGAAAGGTTTTTTTAACCTTGATGTGAAATTCAAATAGAAAAATAACTGACATGATGACTAGAATTGAAAACGTTTTCTACAGTAAAAGATGCTGTACATAAAATTTAAAAGACAAATGAGATCGTAGGCAAAATATTTTCAATTTATATGATAGAAGGCTCATATTTTAATGGATATAGAGAGTTCTTAAAAATCATTAAAAAAGAAAGGGTTACAGAAAAATCAGCAAAGTGTATGTACAGAGAATTACAAAAGGAGACATGATGTCTGAAACATATTGGATTGGTGGTTATTTAAAAGCTTGGTAATGCCCAGAGTTAGCCAGATTATAAGGGAATAGATATGTTTATATGCTTTTTTTGGTAGAGGGTAAACTAATAGAACCTTTTGAGATGGCTCTCTGAAACTATCCATTTTAAATGTGCATACCCCTTAATCAAGAAATTCAACTGTTGCAAATTAACCCAAAGGAAATAATTTCAAATGTGTATAAACAAGATATTTTAAAAATATTTAGAAACTATCAAGAAGGTTGAATTGATTATTCATTCACGTGATGGATTACTGTGAAGCATTCACAATGGTGGATAGACCTGTATGACTTAGTAATAATAGTAATACTAGTAATTGCTTACACTGATTGAGCCCTTAATGATACTGTTCTAAGGGCTTTACATACATTAAAACAGCGGTCCCCCTGCCTTTTCGGCACCAGGGACTGGTTTCGTGGAAGACAGTTTTTCCATGGACCGCAGGGGGGTGGGGGGAAGGTTTCGGGATGATTCGAGCGCATTGCATTTATTGTGCACTTTATTTCTGTTATTATTACATTGTGATATATAATGAAATAATTATACAAGTCTCCATAATGCAGAATCAGCGGGAGCTTCTTTTCACTTGCCACTCACCGATAGGGTTTTGTTATGAGTCTGCAAGCAATTGATTTATGATGGTCTCCGTGCAGTCAAACCTCTCTGCTAATGATGACCTGTATCTGCAGCCGCTCCCCAGCGCTAGCATCACCGCCTCAGCTCCACCTCAGAGCATCAGGCATTAGATTCTCATAAGGAGCACGCAGCCTGGATCCCTCACGTGTGCAGTTCACGGTAGGGTTCGCGCTCCTGTGAGCATCTGATGTCGCCGCTGATCTGACAGGAGGCGGAGCTCAGGTGGTAATGAAAGCGACGGGGAGCGGCTGTAAATACAGATGCAGCTTCGCTCGCCCGCCTGCCACTCGCCTCCTGCTGTGCGGCCCGGTTCCTAACAGGCCAGGGACTGTTACGGTCCATGGCCCGGGGGTCGGGGACACCTGCATTAAAACACACACACACAAACTAGAAGAAGGGGAAGGGATTATAGGGAAGACTTGCTTTCTTTCTACTCGTGCAATTTAGTATTATATAAATTCTTAATAAGGTTAGTGAGTTACTTCTATGATAAGCAATAACAGTGATATTACCATTTTGAAATCACTCCTTTATAAAATTCTGATATTTCTACTATTAAACCCCCATGTTATGTGAGTCTCTTTGCTGCACTGGAGCGGCTTCTATGCTGACAAAAGCTGATTCAATGCAGCTTTTCCCATCCTGGCTTTCAGTGACTTCATGCTGATACATTGAAACTGGCTGTGATGGGAGTATTCACACCATGGAAACCGGCAGACGGTATCAATCAGGGCCTTCTTAACAAAATGGAGTCCTGGCCACCAGCACACACTGATAGCGAGAGCCTCAGGGACGTCCACCGCCCCTCCCCCTCTCGCCTTTCCTCCCTGTCCACCTGTCCTCCTAAATATGTACTTAGTGCTTTCACAGAGCTTACCATTTAGTGAGGGTAACAGACATTAAGAAATAATTGTGTAAGTAATTACATAGATATGGTTATGACAAATGCTAAAAAGAGAGAAAGAATGATGTAAGGGTGTGTTAAAGGCAGACCTACTATTTAAAAACAATTTTTTTGAAGTACAGTTACTTTGCAATGTCGTGTTAGTTTCAGGTGTACAGCAAAGTGATTCAGTTACACACACACACACACACACGTATATACATATATATATTCTTTTTCAGCTTCTTTTCCATTGTAGGTTATTACAAAATATTGAGTAGAGTTCCCTGTGCTACACAGCAGGTCCCTGATAGGAAGACCTACCCTTGTCTGAGGTAGTCAGCAAAGAATTTGGGGTATTGTTGCTTGCTTTAATTAAATTAGAATAGACAATCTTTTCATCTTTTAATTAATCTGCTACATTTGGTACTTCTCTTACTAACCAGGATGTAATAGAGATGAGTGTTTTTCATTATTTTTCTGATGAGCATCGCAACTAATTGAATCATGTATTTATAGCCACATTACTGGCAGTTGTAGGAATTTTGTCCCTGAAACCTGGCTGCTGAGCCTTAGATGCAGTGGTCTGAACCTTGCACACGGTCTGTTCTTGCCATTTAATCCTATTTAAGGCACTGTGCATATTCTGTCTTTCTATTTTGAAGTAACTCAACATGGATGGTAATACATTCATCGGCATTTTAAAAGTGCACAAGAGGTAAAAGTGGTTTAGCGGTTAATGTTTTTTAACTTATTTGACAAACTTTAGTGCCTTCTCACGTTACAGGAATTTCTACAAAAATAGTTTCCTCGGTTTGTTCTGTCTAAGAGTAGAAACCCCAAGCTTGTAAATTTTTAGAATCGTTTCATTTTCTACCTATTTGACTTTCTTCCCCCTTGGCTCCAGCGGTTTTCTTATAACTCTTTTCTTTCCTCTGACATCAGGCTCAGTCTCAGGGTGCAATCACATTCAAGATTATACCCAGCATCAAGGAGGACACACCATCAAAGGAGGGCAAGGTAACCATTCCTCAGAAACCCTTTTTTTTGTGGGAACCAATGTTTTTCCATTTACTAAATGGAACACAACAAGTTTATCTTAATATTCTATTTCTTAAATAAATCAGAGTTAGAAGAATGTTGGCCGCTTCACATTTATTTTTTTATATTTATGCATCTGAAACGGAACTTTCTTCCAGATGTTTATCAAAGCCCTCTTTGACTATGACCCTAATGAGGATAAAGCAATTCCATGTAAGGAAGCTGGGCTTTCTTTCAAAAAGGGAGATATTCTTCAGATTATGAGCCAGGATGATGCAACATGGTGGCAGGCGAAGCACGAAGGAGATGCCAATCCCAGAGCAGGCTTGATTCCCTCAAAGCATTTCCAGGAAAGGTGAGTTCCTGGCACAGAATCATGGCCTGTCTTCAGCTGACATTTTGTTCTCTGCAAAATACCATTCCAGCATAGTTGTGATAAAATAAGCACTAAAACCTTGCCTTAGAATTCCTTATCCCTCAGGTTTGGATTTCTGTTTTGTCTAACGAAGCATGAATAATGACCAAAAATAATATGACACTCTCAGGTCATATTCAGTTTTTGTTACGAAACAAATGGAAAATAGCACATTAATATCTGAAACTGTATTGATGTGAAAGATGGAAAAATAAAGAAGAGTGATTTCAGAGTGGGGAGAATTTATAAAAATTTGAAAGTAGAGGATTTATTTCTTAATTTGAGTAGATTGCATTGTGTTCATTTTTTCCTCCAACGTTCCATTTTTCTCTTAAGGCTTTTAATATTTTGGTGTTATGTTAATCTTGGATCTGTACTGAAAATTGATAGGCATATTGACCTTCTTTTCCCCCAGGAGATTGGCTCTGAGACGACCAGAAATACTAGTCCAGCCCCTGCAAGTTTCCAACAGGAAATCATGTAAGTTTGTTAATCAGAATGCAGAGTAACTAAGTCTTGCTGTTTACTTTTGACTGTTACAGCAGGTGTTTGTGGTAGAATAAGAGGTCCTATTACCTGTGATAGCGTTTGGATCATCATTTCACAAGAACCAACAAGGAACAAATTCACAGTGGGAATAGTAAAGTGAATCTTTTGAAGAAAGGGGTGTTTGGGGTTGTTTATAATAAACCCATGACTCACTCTGTAAGAAAAAAGCTAATAACCACAACTCTCTTTGATCCTGAGTTTAGGTACTTTATAATGTAACCTAAAATGCAACTCTTATTTCTCTAAAGCTAGGAGGTTTGATACGATATTTCTTGGTAAAGATTGGAGGAAAAAAATCCATCACTTTCTAGGGCACAAAAGCAATTGTGCCTAAAACAGTCATTCTTGTTCTACTTTCTTCCTTGCTTATTTTGACATCACAGTAACTCTGACCTTCAACCGGTCTGTTCAGAGTTATTACCAAACTAGATTAAAAGAAAACAAGAATAAGAAAAACGATGACGTAGGATTACTGGAAAAGAATGGTTTTTCTTTTAACCCAGGCTTCTCTCAGATTCTCTTTACTTCTCACCTCCCACCTCTTGTAAGTCCCCATCCTACTTTATCTTCTCTGCTTCATGGTTCTAGGTAGTTTAAGAGTTAAAAAAAAAAAAAAAAGCCCTTTTGTTTTCAGCATAGAAATTGTACGTTAAAAGGTGAAATGAGCAAATAAACGGTCCTGGAATTTCACACCAACATCTGTTTTTAGTATCGTTGCATTTTTTCCCATCTCCTGTTATTTCTGTCAGTTTGTAGAAGCCTAGAGCCCAGGAATCACGTTATAAGGGAGCCAAACTGCAGTCGAGTATAAATCTCACAAGCAAGCTTCAAGTAGAGCACTGATTCAAAAGCCTGCTTGTTCTTGCTCTGTTAAGTCTGGGCAGAAGGAAAAAACACTTGTCATAGAATGCCACATGTCCCGTGACATCGAAAGCTTCAAGTTTAACCAGAATGTTGCATTGTTCTTAAGTGTGATGAATTTTCACTGGCAACTCATCCAGTGGAAAGGAGCTCTGAGGCCTCTACCTGACTTGCTCTTTGAGGGTTTTTTACATTTGGGGGCCTGCACATTTCTTATACATTTGGTGCATGGGGGATAAAATGTGTCTAACTTGAAAATGAAATAAATGTGATTCTACTCGAATCTGAATCCATACTCTAATTTGCTTGAGTTTTAGGCAACTTAGAAATGTGTAATTGGTTATAATTATGAATTTTCACTTAAAATTTTTGATGTATTTTTTTTGTTTTAAAGAACTGTGCAAAGTAGAGAGATTGTCTTCTTAATAGCTCTCCCCAAACTGGTTTCAGGATAAATGTGTGTGTGTGTGTGTGTGTGTGTGTGTGTGTAGAGCTCTAATTGTAATGGAGGCTATTTTGTCTTTGAATTTACATAATTTCTTTTTTTTAATTTAATTTTATTTTTTTATATAGCAGGTTCTTACTAGTGATCTATTTTATACACATCAGTGTCTACACGTCGATCCCAATCTCCCAGTTCATCCCACCGCCCCACCACCCAACCCCTCTTTCCCCCCCTGGTGTCCATATGTTTGTTCTCTACATCTGTGTCTCTAATTCTGCCTTGCAAACCGGTACATCTGTACCATTTTCCTAGATTCCACATATATGCGTTAATATACGATATTTGTTTTTCTCTTTCTGACTTACTTCACTCTGTATGACAGTCTATAGGTCCATCCACGTCTCTACAAATGACCCAGTTTTGTTCCTTTTCATAGCTGAGTAATATTCCATTGTATATATGTGCTGCGTCTTCTTTATCTGTTTGTCTGTTGATGGGCATGTAGGTTGCTTCCAGACCTGGCTATTGTAAATAGTGCTGCAGTGAACATTGGGGTGCATGTGTCTTTTTGAATTATGGTTTTCTCAGGGTATATGCCCAGTAGTGGTATTGCTGGGTCATATGGTAGTTCTATCTTTAGTTTTTTAAGGAACCTCCATACTGTTCTCCATAGTGGCTGTATCAATATACATTCCCTCCAACAGTGCAAGAGGGTTCCCTTATCTCCGCACCCTCTCCAGCATTTGTTGTTTGTAGATTTTCTGATGATGTCCGTTCTAACCAGTGTGAAGTGACACCTCATTGTAGTTTTGATTTGCATTTCCCTAATATGAATTTACATAATTTCTTTTATATGTTAATACTCTAGTGTTTGAGTTTCAGGACTTGTCTTTATGGAACGTGGTCGTCCTTTCACCCTTTCTTCCTTTTCTTCTCTCTCTCTATTTTTAACCTAGATTTTGATTCACTGAGAGATGCATTGTTTGTTCTCAGAGGTAGATGTTCTTTACTTTTAAATAAAAAAATAAATCTGATCAATATTATCCAAAGTAAATGCAGCGTGTAGTAAATACAGCCTCATTCAGAGAGACCGTATACTTCCGTGAAAATTAAATAAAAGGCCACTGTCTTTATTCTCAAAAAATTGAAATTCCATTTGAAATTCTTTGAGTGTTGTCTCATAAACCCCTGAACTCAAAAGTTATACAAAAATCATTGCACTGAATCTGAACATTTATTTATTTATTTTTTAAATTTATTCATTTGGCCTCAGTGCATGGCACGTGGGGGGATCTTAGTTCCCCGACCAGGGATCAAACCCATGCCCGTTGCATTGGAAGCGCGGAGTCTCAATGACCGGACTGCCAAGGAAGTCCCTGGCTCTGAACATTTTTATAAGTATTTAAAAGCACTTTGTTTTGTAACCTGTGTATTTGAAAGTGATTTTTTTTTTTAATGTAACTAAATCTTATAAAGACCATCTGACTCAACACTTCCTGGACTTCAACCTTTGGTACTTAGATTTTTGGAATAGGACATTTGTTATCATGCCCTTTGCTACATTACAGAATAATACTATGAAGAAAAGCAGAAAGTTGATATAAAATCCTTTATTTTTATATTTTATTTTATTAAAAAAATCTGTATATATTTTATAATGGATCTATTTAATTACATTGAATAGTCATGGAATAGGTTTTAAGAAAATTTCTGATTTAATATAAAATTTCTAAAAGAATAATTCTCTCATGCTGGTGTTTATAAATTTATGAAAAATACTCATGGTGATAAAAATTTTCTGCACTAAATTTCACAAGTGCTCTTAAAACCTAGGAAGGTATTGGTTAAGCAATGAGTTTAGAATAATGACTTAAAGGTCATTAGCCAGTTAACTTTTTTGACAAATTGATTGCTTTTGTATTAGTAGGATTTTACTCTTTATTTGATTCACAGTGTATCATCATAACTGAAGTCTTCATGGAGGAAAAGTTCATGGAAGATGGCTCTGGTGCTGTAGGGCTTCAGCTAGTGTGCACACAGAGGTCAGAAAGGACTGGAGCACCCCAGTACTGTTATCTCTGCCTTTATATTTGTGCTAGAACTCTGGGTCCGGGCTCCATGGTTAAAAAATCAGAAGCTATGGTAGTACCGACCTCCTCAGGCTTTTAAACTGACACCCTTATGCAAAACTCTGAGTGTGGGTGGTATTCATCCTTGATGCTTGGTTATTTCCTCTCCTTAGGAATCTTGGCGTATCTAATGCATATACAGAAAACAGGCTCCTCAAACGAGGTGTTCCTTGCTGTGACCAACGTTTAGATTGTTATCAGAAGGACACGGGGTGCGTGTTTGGGGCCCAAGTAAGCACCTATCTCATGTCTCAAGTAGCACGTAGGGGCAGTTCTCCTGACAGACACTTAGTAGCTTGCAGTTCTTGTGTCGATAGAATTTACCCTACGACTTTCCTGCCAAAGCTTATTTTTACAGTTCAGTTGCATATATAAAGCCATATGATAGCACCTAACCTTTGAAAAGAAATATGAATTTCTTTGATTACTTGAAATATTGTTTGTTCCCTTTCTATTGAAACGTAAGTATGTAAGTTAGGAGTTAGCTTCTTAGTAGCATAAACATTAACTTTAACTTCAATCCGACGTGACTTATACTGAAATCGAGTCCTTACTCATGTACTGTATTTTACTGCAGAACGTTCAAGTATGATACTTACTTACAGTGCTTCGTTTCCTTTTTTTAGTTATCAAAGTATAAATAGCTGAACATTTCTAATAATGCTGATTGAATAATATTAATGAAGACATTTTCTTTTACAAAATAGCTCTAATAGAATTCTAGTAATAAATAAACGAGAAATCAAAAATGTACAATTTATTGGCTTTTTAAAAATTTGAAGGTAAAGACACAAAATAAGTTAGAATTTGTTTTAACCGATTTTGATGGTTATCATGTGGGTAAAAAAGAAAATATTTGACTGCAGGCAAGAGGTGTCCATTCAAACAGGCTGTCACCAGATTCACTCAAAGACAAGTATTTTGTGGATTGAAGATCTCAAGCTACCAACAACAGAATTTAAACGTTGAGGAAAAGAGTGAATTCATTCTTCATGGCACCAGTGTTGTGGAAGACCAAACTTTTGAGAATACTATATGTATCATTGCTCTACAGGTTGTTGTAATACTACTTTCCAAGTTGAATAAGCACCTACCTTCTTCCTGGCATCTTAGATAATGTTTATTTACTGTGTTCACACATAAATTTAATTCAGAAATGAACAAATAGATTGCTTATGTTCTTAAATTTCTGTATCTAAAACTTTGACAAACATTTTCTTAATATTGGTGGGATCATGTGTAACAGAAACATACGGGGTTTTAAAAATACTGGAAATATTTCTTTCCTCTGACGCTCTTTGGGAGATGCCGAAGATCACAGCTCATGTAGAAAGAGGTGTAGATGGATTAAATTGTAAATTGCACCTCTGATTGTTCACACCATGAGATGGTTGAGGTCAAGGCGTTTCTTGCTGCTTCTTTTTCGTCTGTGATATCCTTACCTATATAAAGATGACACTGTCAGGGTGTGTGTTTAGCTTTTCCATCTGAGAGGT